GGCCTAGGGGGGGGATTGTATAGGGATTTTAATAGGGATTTTATAACTTTTCTAAAAATAACAGGCTTATTTAATATATATTTTAATTGTTTTTAGATATTTATTGTATAGTTTCGTTTTTATTGCCTGTAAGCCGCCCTGAGTCCTTCGGGAGAAGGGCGGGGTATAAATTAAAGTAATAATAATAATAATAATAATAATAATTACGGTCATAACTCAAGGACTAGCTTTAGATACATATATTAGCAGCATACTAAAAAACAGAGACATCACCCTGCCAAAAAAAGTACGTATAGTCACGGCCATGGTTCTCCCAGTTGCAATGTATGGCTGTGAAAGCTGGACCATAAGAAAGGCTGAGCGCCAAAGAATGGAGGCCTTTGAACTATGGGGCTGGAGAAGACTCCTGTGAGTCCCTTGGACTGCAAGGCCATCAAACCGGTCAGTCCTGGAGGAGATCAACCCTGACTGCTCTTTAGAAGGCCAGATCCTGAAGTTGAAACTCAAGTACTTTGGCCACCTAATGAGAAGGAAGGACTCACTGGAGAAGAGCCTGATGTTGGGAAAGATGGAGGGCAAGAGAAGAAGGGGACGACAGAGAATGAGTGGGCTGGATGGAGTCACTGAAGCAGTAGGCGTGAGCTTAAATGGACTCCAGAAGATGGTAGAGGACAGGAAGGCCTGGAGGAACGTGGTCCATGGGGTCGCGATGGGGTGCATTTTGTCGAGTTCTTAGAAAAGACTGTGATGTAACTACAAATAGTCCTTGACTAATAACCAAATTTCCATTGCTAAGCCAGGCAGTTGTTAAGTGAGTTTTGCCTCATTTGACCACCTTTTTCCCCCCATAGTTGTTAAGCAAAAGACTACACTTCTTAAGTGAACCACACGGTCGTTAAGTGAATCCAGCTAACCCCCCCCCCCTCTTGACTTTGTTTCTTGGAAGCCGGCTCGGAAGGTTACAGATGGTGATCACGTGAGCCTGGGACACTGAAAACCGTCATAAATACGAGCCAGTCGCTAAACATCTGACTTTTGATCACGTGACCGTCGGGATGCTGTGACGGCCGTAAGGGTGAAAAATGGCCACGAGTCCCTTTTTTCAGTGCCACTGTAACTTCGAACGGTCACTAAACGAACGGCCGTAAGTCGAGGACTACCTGTGGAGCGTCGCCTTTGCAAAAGAAGAAAAGTTTGGCCTTACCTGAGGGAAGTCGCCATTTCTGGGTAAGAAATCAGCAAGGCCATGAGGTGCGAAATTGGAATCCGAGAAGAGCTGCCCGTTGGTGGGATTGGTGTAAAAATTAGACTGGGTATTAAAATATTGCCTATAAAGAAACGAAAAGTATCATCAGATTACAGATTTTGAAAGCGCCTGTGGCCCTGTGACTGCGGAGGTCCTGGGCGGAGTGGGACTTTTATTTAAATTAAAAAAAAAAGAGGGAGCAAAAGAGAAAAGAAAGTGACAAACAAGGAACACAATGCCGCAACCAAAAGTGAAAAATGAAGAAGACAACACCACAGCCAAAAATTACGTATATAAAGAACTACGGCCTTCTATATGTATATTACACGGGTAGTCCTCACGTTATGACCGCAATTGAGCTTCTGTTGCTAAGCGAGACATTGGTTAAGTGAGTTTTGGCCCATTTTACGAGCTTTCTCACCACAGTTGTTAAGTGAACCACAGCAGTGCGTAAAGTTAGTAACGCGGTTGTTAAGCGAATCTGGCTTCCCCATTGACTTTGCTTGTCAGGAGGTCACAAAAGGGGGTCACGCGATCGTCATAAATATAAATCAGTTGCCAAGCGCCTGAATTTTGATCATGTGACCACGGGGATTCTGCAACGGTCTTAAGTGTGAAAAACGGTCGTAATAAGTCACTTCTTTCAGTGCCATTGTAACTGTGACATTGTAACTGTGAATATTCACTAACTGAACTGTTGTAAGTCGAGGACTACCTGTATATTTCAAAAAAGGATGGCCATATTTCACTAGCATTGACAATGGGTGTTTGGAAAGATTCAGAATGAAATATTTTAGCTAGCACATCGCTGCCAGTCCCGCAAATGCCCCCCCCAATTTTAGTTTTAAAAGTTATTTTTTTTAACAGAGTTCAATAATAATTATTCAACAAAAACGTGTTGTCTGAGTATCTTATTCACTAATACAAATTAAATTCCTAATCCCTAAATCTTTTCTCTCACCATTGATAAAATAGGTCCCAAGTTTGAAAATATTCTGTTTCTTTTTTTTCTTTCAACCTCAAAGTAAGTCTGTCCAACACTGGAAGTTTTTAAGAAGAAACTGGACAGCCATTTGTCTGAAATGGTATAGGGTTTCCTGCCTGAGCAGGGGGTTGGACTAGATGACCTCCAAGGTACCTTCCAACTTTATTATTATTGTTATTATTTCTGCACAGTCTAATATTTTTTTGATTATTTCTTCTTCTGGTGGTATTTCTTCGTTCTCCCAATATTGTGCAAATATCATTCTTGCCGCTGTTATCACATGTAGAATCAAATATGTACTTTGCTTATCAAGTTTTTCTGCCATTATATCTAGTAAAAAAAAATCAGGTTTATAGTCTATGTGTTTCTCTAACATTTTAGATGACCCGATTCTACCCTTACACTCTACCCCCCAATCAGCAGCTCTCCAGAATTTTGTTTTCCAAAATTACTAGATACCATTCCTTGCCTTAGTCACTTGCAATAATGCACTCACCAAGAGTCTAGTCCTCACTCTTGGAAGCGAAAGCATTTGAACGATTATGGATGGGAAGGAAAAAGATTTCTCAGTATCCCAGGTGTTCTGAATGGTATCAATTAGTTAATCATCAGAATCCGGATTTACATTTGCCAAAACTATACATGTAGTCCTCGACTTACATTCATTTAGCACTGTTCAAAATAACCTGCCTCCAGAAGCTGTGAATGCTCCAACACTGGACGTTTTTAAGAAGAAACTGGACAGCCATTTGTCTGAAATGGTATAGGGTTTCCTCCCTGAGCAGAGGGTTGGACTAGATGACCTCCAAGGTCCCTTCCAACTTTTATTATTATTATTATTATTATTATTATTATTATTATTATTATTATTATTATTATTATTATTATTATCATCATCATCATCATCATCATTATCATTATTAAACGAGCACTGAAAAAGTGGCTTATGATCAGACCTTGCATTTATGACCATTGCAGCATCTCTATGCTCACATGATCAGAATTCAGATGCTTGCAAACTGGCCTGCATTTTCAGGTAGTCCTCGACTTACAATAGTTCATTTAGTGACTGTTCCAAGTTACAACAGCACAGAAAAATGTGACTTACGATCATTTTTCATAGTTACGACCTTTGCAACGTGTGATCCAAATTCAGAATGCTTGGCAACTGGTTCATATTTATGACGGTGGCAGCGTGCCCGGGGTCGCATGATCTCCTTTTGTGACCTTCTGACGAGCAAAGTCAATGGGGGGAGCCGGATTCACTTATCAACCGTGTTACTACTTTAACACCTGCAGTGATTCACTTAACAACTGCGGCAGGAAAGGTCGTAAAATGGAGCGAAATTCATTCAACAAATACCTCGCTTAGTAACAAAAAAATTAGCCTCAATTGTGGTCATAGCTGAGGATTACCTGTACAATGTAGTGTCCCAGTGTCATGTGATCGCCATTTGCAACCTTCCCAGTCAGCCCCCGACAAGCAAAGTCAATGGGGGAAGCTGGATTTACTTAACAACTGTATGGTTCACTTAATAACTGCAAGAATTTGCTTAAACAACGGTGGGGGAAAAAGTTGTTAAATCAGGTGTGGCTCACTTAACAACAGCAACAGAAATCTTGATCCCAATTGTGGTCATAAGTCGAAAAATACAAATACTGTTGTTGTTGTTTTAAAAAATCGCACAGTATTGCTGATTCAGAAAGCATCTGGAGGGGATAATATTTGCATCCCTCATTAAAAAAAATCCCAAGGGCTCTCTACGGGTAGTCCTCAAACTGACGACCATAACTGAGCCCCATATTTTTGTTGTTAAGACATTTGTAAGTTGAATTTTGTCCCATTTTATGACATTTCTTGCCTCAGTTGTTAAGTGAATCACTGCAAGCTGACAACTTAGTAACCTGGCTGTTGTGTGAATCTGGTTTCCCAGTTGATCTTGCTTGTCAGACAGCTGCAGAAGGGGGTCACGTGATCCTGGGACTCGGCGACCGTCATAAATACGAACCACTTGCCAAGCGTCTGAAGTTTGACCACACGATGCTGCACAGGCCGTAACTGTGGAAAACGGTCATAAGTCGTTTTCCAGGGCCGTTGTAACCGTTGTAAACAGTCACTAAGCCAACTGTTGTAAGTCGAGGACTACCTGTACTAAGGAGGAACTGGTTATCTTGGACATCCTATCTCTCTTTAAACCCTAGGAGGGTAACTTGAGAACTGGATCAATGCAGGACAGGGGCCATTGGGGGCTACCAGTCTTCAAGATACAATGTTAAATCTGGTTTGGGTGTCAGAGAAGTGGATCGGGCTTGGCTAGATCCACAAGACGTTAAGGCCCCTAGGTTATTTTTAAAATCCCCTGCCCAAACACTCATGAGTTCCTCCTTCAGCAACGGTGAGGACTAGCCACCTGATCAGTCCTCCTTCAACAGTGTGACAAAGCCGCCCCCTTGGCTGACGCAAACCAGAATAAACAGTGGCCGGTTCACATCCTGGAGAGCGGGGGCTGGACCGGTGATAAGAAAACAGGACACTGACGCCAGCTTTCCCCCTCTTGAAAACTTCTCCGTCAAAAGAGCGAGGCTGCTCGGTGAAAGCTCTGCCCACATAGCTTGACACATGCCACCTTAGTTTTGCTTTTACTCCCCCAGCCCGGCTTGTGGGAACGTCCCCGTTTCAGCTGCATCATCATCTTTCCAGTAAAAGAAGGGCACGCCGATGTGTGACAGGCCCGGCCACAGGGGCCGGGCACGGCGCCAAGGCTTACGTCCTGCGGAGTGGCGGAGGGCACGTGGGGGACCCCTGCAGGAAGACTGGGGTATCCCTGAGGATGGCCTGTTGGAGAAATGGCTCCGATGTCGGGGGGTCCCACGGGCAAGGGAAGGGGCCCTGAACCAGAGTTTGCCGATTTATGAAACCAGGTTTAACTCTCTGGGTGAGCAAGGCGGGCTTCTAAATGCAGCCTGGAAGAACTTGGTGGATGTAGCTCAGGGGTGGGGAACCTTGGCTCCTTTATGACTCGTGGACTTCAACTCCCAGAATTCCTGAGCCAGCCATGCTGAGGGGAAAGGGAGAGGTTTCCAGGCTGAGCCATGCTGGCTCAGGAATTCTGGGAGTTGAAGTCCACGAGTCATAAAAGGGCCAAAGTTGCCCCCCCTCGAAAATTCTAGCTCTATGTGGGTTTGCATGTGTTGGTTCTTAATGTTTTTAATGTCCTTATTGCCATATATTCTGTAAGTCCTCGACTTCCAACCCGTTCATTTAGTGACCAGTCGAAATAACAACCGCACTGGAAAAAAGCGACTTCTGACCGTGTTTCACACTTACGACAGTTGCAGCATCCCCCATGGTCGTGTGATTAAAGTTCGGACGCTTGGCAAATGGCATGTATTTATGACAGTCACAACGTCCTGAGGTCATGTGATCCCCTTTTGCAACCTTCTGACAAGCAAAGTCAATGGGGGAAGCCCGATTCACTTAACAACCGGGTGGGGGGGACTAACTTATCAACTGCAGTGATTCACTTAACAACGGTGCCAAAAAGATCGTAAAATGGGGCAAAACTCACTTAACAACCGTTTTAGTTAGCCGCAGAAATTTTGGGGCTAAATTGTGGTCGTTAAGTCGAGGATTACCTGTAAACAAGTGAGTCTGAGGTAAATTGATTAGCTCTCCTTACAAGTCAGAGAGGAAAGATCTGTCTTCTTTTCCTTTTCGGCCTTATATACAACCACAAATGAAATAAGAGATAATTGGATGCTGTACAGGTAGTCCTCGACTTACAACAGTTCATTTAGTAACCGTTCAAACTTACAACAACATTGGGAAAAAAGTGACTTATGACTGTTTTTCACACTTACGACCGTTGCAGCATCCCCGTGGTCACGTGATTTACACTCAGAGGCTTGGCAACTGGTTCATATTTATGACGGTTGCAGTGTCCCAGGAGGTCACGTGATCACCTTTTGCGACCTTCTGGCAAGCAAAGTCAATGGGGGAAGCCAGATTCACTTAACGACCGGGTCACTAACTTAACAACTGAAGGGATTCACTTAACAACTGTGGCAAGAAAGGTTGTAAAATGGGGCAAAATGCA